CTGCAAGTCTACCAATCTTGTGTCCTTTCCACACTCCTCTATGGTAGCGAGTCATGGCCCACATACGCCAGACAAGAGAAGCGGCTCAACGGGTTCCACCTCCGCTGCCTTCGGCGTCTCCTCCTGATCAAATGGCAGGACAGAGTCCCCAACACCGAGGTCCTTGGGCGAGCCGACATGCCTAGCATCTCTACACTACTCATCCAAAGACGCTTACGGTGGCTTGGCCATGTACACCGTATGGACCCCGGTCGCTTGCCAAGACAAATCCTTTATGGGGTACTGCGAGAGGGCGTCCGACGCACGGGCCGACCACTCCTTCGCTTCAAGGACGTTTGCAAGCGTGACCTGCAACTCACTGAAATCATCCCCAACACCTGGGAGATCCTTGCGTCAGACCGGAATGCCTGGCGTCGGGGTGTGAAGGACGGGGCTCACAGGGCTGAGATGAAGGCCAGGGCCGAGGCGACTATCAAGAGGGGGACGAGAAAGAAACGTCAAAGATCAGATCAAGAGGCCACCAATTACATCTGTTCCAGCTGCAACAAAGATTGCCACTCAAGAATCGGGCTTTTGAGCCACTCAAGAGCCCACCAACACTGATGCGCTGACCATCGCCTCTCCGAGACGAGGATGCCACCACTGTACATGTAGAAGGCAGTGACGCCGGGCACGTCGACGCAACCCCTACTTTTGGAAACTTCCAAGACCAAACCAGTCTTGGTTCGAGATCCACTTCAATAACCGAACAATTCCCGAAGAGTGTTTCCGCAAACAACTGCGAATGAATCGTCGTACCTTCGAAATGTTGGTGAATGTCTTGCGACCTGCCGTAACACGCGAAAATACAAGATTGCGTGACTGCATCGCTCCAGAAAAAGTACTCGCACTTGGTTTGTATCGTCTAGCGCACGGGAACAGTTATAAAAGTATTGGGCCAAATTTCAACGTTGGAAGATCGACTGTTCTAGGAGCATCCCAAGACGTTGTGGAGGCCCTTTTCAACCTGAGGAATGTCTACATAAAATTCCCCATTACAGAAGCGGAAACCCGGGTTAAGGGTAACAACATCTCTTGTCCCAAGAACACGATCAATTTTGTCATAGCAGACACTTTTTCTTAATTGACATCCACTCTGAGTTTTGTTCCAGGTTTTTGCATCCTTATATTTATCGATAAGGTATTTGATTTTCCTCTGGCATTTTTCTACTGTCTTTTTCGTTCCAAAATTGATCTCGATCTCTTGACATATCTCTTGCCACGCTATCCTAGCGTCTTTGCTTTCTAAACGGTCGTGCTTTTCGGACCACAGATCAACCAGGAAACTCTGTTCTTCGTTAGAGCATTTATCGTAACTCGATTTCTTTTTTCCTTTATTTTGCGAGGGCGTTTGACTTTCTTGTTGCAGCGCTTGTCCGACCACTTCTGTTTCGTTGGATTGAAACTGGCGTGACGACTGGAAAAACACACCATTGCTGTAGCTTGGCCCAGCTGCATGAATACTGTTCAATTGATCGTTGTATGGTGGAACGTTCCAGCGTCCTACAGAGTTTGTCTGCTCATAGGGCAGACCGGCATAGTTTGCCATTGGATTTAAATTCCAATTGCCGGAATTCATCTTTACGTTACGCGTTCACTGTTAAAGCATCCAGTTTTTAGCGTTTCGCAGGAAATGCCTCAGAAGGTAATTTGAACTCAGTTCACTTACCAATACCAGGCAGGCCGTAATAGCTTTTCTGACAAATGATAGACAAGTTTAACACATTTGTCGATTTTGGCAAATTTTGTCGGCGGTGCGTTTGAAAATTTGTCCGCTTCGGACAAAATTTGTCAGGTCGCGACAAACCGTCCGCACTTGTGAAGCACTGGTGATGACAGAAAATTTGTCTAAACAAACAATTTTGTCGCTATTGCGGATAGGCCCTTATTTGCAATTTTGTAAAGAGCATAATTTAAAAAAAAAGGGGCATAATTTGGAAAAAAGAACATAACTTTAGCATAATTTCGCCATAAAAAAGCAATGCTACTAGCATAATATGCTACTTCTACTAGCACAATCTATGTAAAGGCCTTCTCGGTAGTCCTTTGCCAAAATTCCTTGAAATGGCCAGCTAATGGTCAGTTGCCAGTTGGGATTCTTTCAGAAAACTACTCGTCAAGTGAAAACTCGATTAGCGATCAGGCTCCTTTTCCAAAAGTGAAGTAGCGTAAGAGTCGGCGAGGAAGGCGAAAGGTTAAAGGCGAAAGGCGAAAGTGAGGGGGGAGGGGGTAGTGGCTTCAAACGACCCATAGCGGTAATTGTATCTGGTGTTTTTCTTTCTTAGTTATATACCTACCACCAATTATTGGGCTACTACTTTATTGTGTTTCCCCCGAAAAAGCAACGCTCGATCGCAGTTTACTGACAGCGTAAGTGGGGGGAGAGGGGTGGGAGGTGGCGTTCCTTCCCCATCAGGCGTCCTTTCCCATCAGGTAACACCTTTGAAGAACTTTTTTTTTCCAGATTCTATCACATTTGAATTCAGATACGACTACTTACAACGCCAGAATCGACCTCGGCCACATGCTCAGACACAAGAACTCCTTCAGTTTGGACAGATTAGGCTAATTTCCCATATTTCTTAAGATGGTGACATGTATCGATGAAACTTTGTGAGAAATCGATTCCCACAACTTGATTAAATCTCTTGGCGAGTTCAAAAGAAGACCGGCCCACGGCACACCCTACGTCAAGAGCTCTGCTAGGTACGTCATCCTGAAATGAGAATCGAAGTTTTCCATAGTTAGTTCAGGATTGTGGACTTGTAACTAAACTTTTGCAAAAGATATGTCTGTGCAGTTAAAAAAATTATGGGAGACACAAAGAGGCATCGTGCGTTTCAGGTCATAGGGTTAAGGCTAAAAGAAAATAGTTACCACATGAAAACGCCTCATTATAACTTTTCTTTAGATATTGTTGGCACGCTCCAAAACGGCGAATAGGTTTTCAGTGAATTCTGATGAGACAAGTGAGTACACTGATTTTTTTTTTCTGCTGTTGCTTTCTGTTCTTATTTCAGCCGCAGCAAACTTGAAAAACTGCCAGATTTCGTCATCATAAACACACCCCATTTGAAGGAAATGCCAATCGAAAAAAAATTTTAAATCCCTTTCAAAGATTCTAGGGGTTCTAAGATTACTTCCGACATGTAATTGAAAAATTCACTAAAACAACGATGACGGTCGAGTAAATAGAGGATATCACACGGACGCGCAGGGATATGGATTTTTTTCTTCGAGAGCTGTGTCTCTCACGAGTTAGCGAAGCGAAGGAGTGAGGGCTTTCGGCACAAGAGCTTAAATTCGTATTCCCAAGCGGCCATGCAATGTTCTGTTTATTTTATAGATACAGCATCCTCGGAGACCCACGGGCTGTGTA